TTTAATATATATATAACTTTATTGATCTCACAATGGAGAAATTATGTAGTTAGAGTTCCCAGAACAGGTTGAAGACACGTAACCTGATTGTTAGATTTTAAAAATGTTTGTCAGAATGTATTCTTCCAGAATATCCCAAGATAGACAGAACTGAAAATCTTCACTGAAGCATATTGAACCTCAGGTAAAGTCAAACCTGTTGTTGTGGCAGATTGAATAAGCAGCCTTAAAGGTTTTTCAAGAATAGTCTTACAATTTTCGTCCTTTGCTATTTTCTCCTACTTTCTCTGTTAATACATTGTTCACTTTCTGTTCTCTAGGGATTTGTGAAGAAGAACAGAATTAAACTGGAATTTCATCTTTTCATCCAACTTTCTTTGTTTAACATCTCACTGACACTCAAATAAGCTGAGTCATCTTTCTTCACTAATAACTTTCCCATGCATAGTTTTCCTGATTTAACCTATTAGATGCTTTAGCCAACCAGAATCCAAAATAATTCTATGATTATTACGCTATTGTACATGCTTCACTAATTTAAAATAAGTGTACAGTCGACACTTAAGAGCAAAAATGCTGCTAAGAAGCTGAGCCCCAGATACAAAAATACTAGTCTAAAAAAGAATTATTGGACAGCTGTTGGCAGTTGAACCATCTTGTAACCTAAACCAGTAATGGTGATAGTTGCATATGGATACCAGTCTGGCACAAAGCAACCCAAGATGTGAACCTTGATGGCATTGTATAGTAGTGGTTAACCAGGAGCCGCTATCTGTCTGCTGAGTAAAATGATTTTAAATTAGACTAAACTTGCACTCTGGAACCTCAGAAGCACCCAGGCGTATAATGTGACCGTCTGACACATCTGCTTAAGTTGTCTTCTTGACAGACGTTCTGTTACTTTATTGTAAAGTCTGTGCAGTAAATAGGATGAGAGGGTGGAAGAGGATTTCCATTTAAGCACAACAAATAGAGGAATAGAGGCTTGCCTCTAATGAAAAGGAGTATTTATTAGGCTGCCAATCTGACTGTCGGCCAACTCTCTCGGGGGCTTACTGAGTCCAGGGGGATTCAATCTACTCAACAGATAGCAACAGATCTGAAGCTGAGTTTAAGCAAATGTGAGATGTTTTTGCATTAACTTTACGAATAAGAAAAGGAATGACTTGGAAAAAAGGGGAGGAAAATATGAAGAATGAGGTTAGAGTTTGTACAATGGCTCTCAGTTTCCATTATCTTCCCAGGGATGCCTGTGGCCACAGTTGATGCCCGAGCAAGTGTTCTCCCACACCCCATTACAGCACACACACACACACACATACGGAGGCAGGGAAGAATGTACCATGAGGGACCACCAGCTGCTCCAGCGACCGATATGGGAAACGCCTCAAAATACTTGTCTCTTTAAAATTCTCTTGCACATTCTTCCCCTCTCTGACACAGATTCACCTACACGGTCAGGATCTTCACACTCTGGTTCCATTCTGCTTGATTTCTTCCTCTGCTTCTAATTAACAGCGCAGTCACTTATTTACGAGAAGCAATCCAGACTGACATTCCTCTCCCGTTTGTATGATGACGCACTGCACAGCTCATGTATGAAGTGCTAAAAATGAAGCTCATTATACACCTCACATCTTAATACAGAATGGGACAGACTGGTGTAGAGATTCCTATATTATCAACTCAAACATTATAACCATCTTGTTTTATTGATCTCATTCCTTCCCAGTTCTCACGCTGCTAATAGATGAACTACCCGCCTCACTATGTGCCTGACCCTTGACTCCTATAAATCAGAAAAAAGCCTTCCATGCGGCAAACATGCCCGGCAGTCACTTTTTATGATTGATACGAACCAAAGGAAAGTGATGGTTTCAGTAGTAGAGCATTGCCTTTCAATGACCAGCTGCATCTGAAGTGGCCTTTCGACCCATTCCTCTCTGGGTCGTAAAAGGTCTGAGAAGAATAAGAGGCAACCTCTTCACTTCCTCCATGTAGTTCATTTTGTGAACCTCCTGAGTTTGGCCACAACAAAACAGTCATTTCTGCTTTACATTTTAAATCTGATGAGATGTGGATATTTCAAACTAGTATCTTAGACATCTTTGTAGACACAAAGAACAATATCTTGGGAGAAATCTTGGCCACCAACATGAAGACAACTCAATTTCTTTTCTTTTTTTCTACTTTATTTTTCTAAGAGCACTAAACATTCTATATCCACCAAGAAATCTACTGGCAAACAGGACCTTTTCCAGCCCTGGCCAGTGACCATCAAATTGGAAAACCATAATTAACACCTTTTCATAATCAGAGAACAACTCCTGGTTGACACACCTGTTTTGGATGTACTGTATTCAACTATTAAATGTCTGTTAGTAGCAGTTATCAATCCCATGGAATGCCTTCAGACTATGCCTCCTCTACCTTCTAGTAGGTTTCTTATGGCTGATGACATGCAGCTCTGTTAACAGCCGCTTCGGCCACATCTAATACCTTTAGTTTCCCGTCTTATTTACCTACATTATACTTTTTATCCACTTTATTTACAGCCTACCATTTTTTTTATGTTTTAAAGCTCTACTTTCAAGTGGATTCTACTTGTTTCAGTCACATGGATTTAATGTGTTGTTTAAAAATAAATCTGACAGGATATGAGATTGTTTTCGTAAGGGTTTTTCGATAAGAGCGACATGCCAAACTACTTCTTTTTTTACAATACCTGAAGACTAACAAAAATGATATTCAGATTACACATAAATGCATAAATTAATTCTGCAGGTAAAAAAGGAATTACCTTAGAGTTAAGATTAGGATTCATTCTGTAATAACAACCTATTAAGCCTACTGGTAGGCAGGAGGCCCAATCTGAAGCCATTCTATGGGACTGATGACTCTACCTTGGGGGAGTGGCACCTTAATGGTTAGGGCATAGAGCTTGGAATCCCGAGGTTCTGAGTTTGAACCCCACTCCCACAGACTGCCACCCTGGGTCTCTGATGAAGACCCTTAACCCTACACTGCAGCCCAGAATGGCAGCCCAATGCTCCCCAAGGGGATGGGTCAAATGCAGAGATAAATTTTTCCGATGTGAGGTCAATAAAGTTCAATTATTAATAACAGCCTTTTAATAAGGATGATAACGAAAGCATCTGGTTGACAGCACTCTGTGGTGTGAAAGTTGTTAATGTAGGGACGACCCAATGTTGGCTTTGCCCGGTATTAGTAAGGGGGTCAAATGAAGTCAAAGAAAGCAGAAAACTGTAAAAAGCTATGTCGGAGCGAAGTATACAACACTGTAGGCCTACTTCTTCATCATTGCCCGTTTTGCTGTTTTGTGCCAAACCATTTGTGTAAAAGCATGTTAGTTGATATTTCGGGGGGAGAGGCGGGGGGGCTATTGAATTGGAAAAAAGGGGCAGACAAAGATCTCAATGTTTTAGAACAGAGCTGCTGTAAATTAAAGCAGTGATTGCCGACCGGGGGTACTCATACCCCTAGTGGTCCACGTGTGCATTGCAAGGGGTACATGAAAATATTTTAGTTCACCTTCAGCTTTGACATACATCAAAACCGAGTAGACTGGATGTGGAGAACAGCCTGGCATCAGCTGTTTTTTTGCACTTAGCAATCAAAGCTCAACCAACCAAGCTCAGGTGTCTTGATGAAAACAAATAATACTAATTAATAAGAAGAATGTTCTTCCAAATTCACGATGACTTGGATCATAGCGCGTTGTGATAAACACCAGATACAGCACTGGGACTTGATCAACAGCCGATACCGCACTACGACGTCACAAACCAGTAGGTGGCAGTAGTGTTCTTTGACAAACATGGATGTCTCAAGTAAACCACATTCAAATTAAATTACTATGAATTAAATATACCTATCATTTATTGAACAGTATGTAATCATTTCATATTTAAAGTACTTTCAGAAGTTTGACTTCTCCTTTAAAATTAGAATGGGGTGATCAGACCTTTAGAAGTTGACATTGGTCTTAGTTGACTGGTAGAAATAATGTTTGGTGCATCAATAAATGTCTTTCCTGATGTCTTCAGATGACAAGTAACGGTTAAAATAATGGGCCTGGTGTGTGTAGAAAAAACTACCTTAGATATACAATAGTGTTTCTGATATAACTTTAAAGGCACACCTCCATTCATCCCTAATGTCCACAGCAGGTAATGTGATATCATTCTTTGGAGCAGAGCCCTCAGTAAACAGATGGCCAGCTATTCAAAAATGTCTGGAAACAAAGAGCTGCATGATTGAGGTTAAAGGCTGAAGCATGCAACCACAACAATCTATATCATGCACTTTTCAAAATGGATGGCAAGTGCTATATCAAAATATAAAGGACTTCCTGCAGTTCAGAAGACTGTTCACTTTATGGTGAGGTTTGGACCTGATTTATTCATGCGCTGTTTCTACATATTCTGCCAGATTAAATCTGACAGCTGGCGCTGAACAGGCAGGGAGCTGAAGTCGAACCCAGACCTCCATCTTCCATTTATAGCCATCTCAACAAAACCCTACAGACACACTGAGGAGGGATTTCTGTCCGACACACGCACTTCTACTGTTCCCCGCTCCTTTATCAGCCCCTGCAGCCCGGCTCATGTTTCACCACATGCCGATCATCCACAAACCTGGGCGCATATTTCACAGCCTGCAAACTTGTGTCCAGGTCAGCTGGTGGCGGAGGGCTCTGCTCTGCAAAGGCAGCTGCAGAGCAGCGGCAGGTGAAGGAGAAATCTAAAACTAACAGACATTCCTCTATCAGCTGACATCAAAGCGGGGACCCCAGCGTGGACACAAGTCTGGGATTAGACTGTTAAATGGTCAGATTGGTAATCTGGGAAATGATGCATTTATTGGTGGGACACTGATAAACCAGTAGAGCAAAAAGTTGGTGAAAACATTGATCTTTTTATTGTATTCCTCTTTTGTTCTAACAGAAACATGCCAAAGATAATTGTTTTCAATCTTACCTGTTAGGTGCTAAGTTGGTGACTCAGCCGGTCATGGTGAGCAGGGAGACAGACCCACATCCACGCGTGTTTTAGCAGCTGATTTGGCTTCTACCTCACTACAGAGCGGAGGGACAAAATACCAGGCGGCGTTAGAGGAAGAAACTACAGAGTTTTAACCCCAAATGATGTAATAAAAAAATATAGAATAAAAATAAAAGAAGAGTCCAGAGGGCGGAGGAGTGAATGAGAGTGGGTGTTTTCTGTCGCGGAGACGCAGCTCTGATAGTCTGAGCTTTCAACTAGAGTTAGAGCAGCGGAGCTGAGCGGCCTGACAAGTTAGCGGCAAAACCTACAGCAGGACAGCGGAAGTGTCCTCCAAAATAAAAGCTATTTATGCTGCTGTAATTATTCGTATCATTTAAATGTACGCTGTGGTGTGATGACCTCAAAAAAATCACGTTAG